GCCCCTTGCACACAAGCCGAGGGCTTTTCTGAATCAGGAGCAGCTAAAATGCATCGTAGATAAATGTTTTAGTCTCATTTCAAATCTAAATCAAAGATGAAATGTTATCGTTGTGTAACGCAGCTCACAGAGACGCAGGGGAATTGCGCACAGATGCGATCTAGTGCGAGCTCATTCGTCAACGTGACTTGACGCAATCAGACGAGCTAAAGTGGCCAATGAATGTCACTGAGACGCCAACACGTTCAGATGCCGTCAGATTAATTGAAATGTCTGAAAGGGGCTTTTGTTTGTTTGTAGGCATCAGTTTGTCAGTGGGTAAATCAGTCTCCACAAAGCTCTTCCATACATATGTTATTCCTGAGACAAGTAACAAAACAATGGGGATGAAGACTTTCCCAGAAGACTTTGCTGCTTCTGACTTATCTAAGCACTATATATTATAATTTTTTTCTTTTTCTTTTTTTAATTGATGCTGCTTTTGTATGATTTTTGGCTTCTGGTTTCTACCAGATGGCCTTAGTAACTTTTAGTTTTCTCTAAAGGATAATCCCCCTCCCTTTACCATTTTTTTTTTTTTTTTTTTAAAACAAATATTTTTGTATCTCCCTTCTCCTTTATTTTCCCATGAAAGACTTCATTCTTTTGTTACTTGTTCTGAAAAAAAAAAAGAAACTATAAGGGAGTAATTAAAAAAAAAAAAAAATGCAGTAACTGACATTTATTATCATTCCAGCTTCTGTATAATAAGGAACATGTATCAATTGAGAGAAGAAAAAAAGAAATGAAACAGTTTTCTCTACTTTTAAAAACTCCAGAAGGCTGAAAGGCCATGAACCACAAGTTATCGGGTGCCTTCATTTGGGAAAAAAGAAAAAAAAAAACTTTTAAAAAAATCAATAAAACAAAAAAAAATCACTCTCTTCTGTGAAGAGTTTGGTACTGAACAAGGCTACGTGTAGTTTTTCTTTGTCTGTACCACAATCCCAATGCCCATTCCAATGGCCCAGTTGATTCATGATTTTTTTGTTTCCCTTTTTGTTTTTGTAAACCCTTCCACCACACACACTCACACACATGGGAAAGACTTAAGAATCCTCTTGAATTGTCACAAAATGAAATAAAAATCCAGGGCATTATGTGTTTCGACCAACATGTCTCCTTTGTTTTTGTTACTTTAATGGTTTCGTTGCGTCTTTGTGTGAAGAAGCTTCAGTTTAGGAGCCAAATTTGATCTCAGGTGGGCCGGACAAGACAAACTGTGTAATCCTCCTACGTGTGAACATTTAATGAACCGTCCAATTCCTCATGCAAACTAGATGAACACCCTGAGAGAAAGAACTAAAGAGCAACCTGACTTTTTCCTTTGTTTAAAGTAGTGTAGAGTCAGTGAGCTCCAAAGTGTGGGCTGTGAAGCTGCTGCAGGTGGGCTGCAAGAACTGATTTGTATTATTTACTTTGAAACAAGTTTTTATAACTGATAGATGTTTTACTTAAACTCTTATGTTTGCCAACAGACTGCAGAAGTTGCTGGGGGCATTCATCATCCCTAAATGCACCGCGTGGTAGTGGTGAAGTTAAAGTTATGACCACTTTGTAGTCTTTCTACTGCTGTGGTTTTTAGTGTTTTACTGCTGGCAGTAAACGAATCCTAACCAACAGCTAATTTTATGTGATAATCAAAGACTGGGGATGAATTCTGCTGATGTTTTTAGTGATCCAGGGCGATGCAAACTTCTCGTTTGGCCTTACAGAAAGCATCTCTGAGGGGCTTGTTACTGGCAGCCCACAGATGCAGTCTACTGTGAATTTCTTCCCACTGATTTTTGTGTAGCTGAAAACACTATGTATGTTCGTAAACTGGTGAAATGTGGGATGATTAAGTAGCACCAGCACGGTGGTGTTGGAGCTATCGAAGGACTGGAAAGAGTTGGAAAACTGAAGTTTGTGACTGTCCTCAATCACATCCTGTCATAAGGATATAATCTTTAAACTTTATACTTTTATTACTTTGACACCAGAAACTGATTGTTTTTAAAAGGAATTTGGACTAAAAATGAGTTCTTAAGGTGATATTCTTGTTTTTGTCTTTTTTCCATTAAAAATAGTTTCATTCAGCTACATAATGAGAGGTGGTTAACTTGCTTTAACCAATGACTTCTGCAGAATTGGGTTTAAATGATCATTATTATATATTGTTATGACATTATGATATAAAAATGAAAACATTGAATACTCCCACTTCAGCTACTTGATCCAGTTTCATGAAAAGGATTAATAAAGTGTCCTGCTATATTTATCTTTGATCATGGATGTCAAACTCATTTTACATTTTCTAAAGATGTCCAGTGGGCCGGATTGGAGTCTTGGCCTGGCCGATTCTGGCCCACAGGCTTTATGTTTGACACCCCTGCTGCAGCTGGAAGAAGGCTGGCAGCTGCTCCTTCCACACATTTTATAGCCAGTGGTTTATGAAGCTGCTGACTCAGCACTTTCATTAAAGTGTTTAAGTGATAAAACTTTAAAACACATAAATTAGTTTTCAAAATGCTTGCACAGTAGCAGCCTGCAGTGGCAGGAGCCTTGATATATTTTTCATTAAACACTTTTCCAAAAGATTTACTCAGAAATTAATACTACATTTAAAAAAAAGAAAAAAGATCAACTCCTCTTCCTCTAAGAAGTCACTGGTGACATTTATCTATTTTGGTTTGTACAAGAGGAAAAAGTGAAGGGACGATTATTGTGGCTTCAAAATGAACTTTAGGTTTAGATGCTACAGAGTAAAAATACTCAAAAATAATCCAACCTGTAAAATGTCTACATATATATATATTAATTATCTGTTGTGTAGCAGAATAAGAGGAGTGTCATTCTGTTCCCTTATATATTATTGAGCTATAATCCATAGTTTTAATGTTGCGACTGCAGAACTTGAAGCCACCTTTCCCTTTTCTTCAAGCTGAAGCTGCACCATGTTATCATCCTGGGACACTATGTGTTGCCGTTCAGTTTACCGTCTCCTGCGTCGTCCTTTGGCAGCGATGCTCTGACGCAGCAGCCGCTGCAGTCCTCTATGGTCCTCTATCGAAGACCTGCAAAGCCTGCAGCAGGAGGCTGGAAGCGTGGCAGCGCAGGTTCGTCAGCCAGGAGATGCTGATTCCTGCTCCTGTGAGACCGTTTTACAGTTTGTTTGGCTTTTTTCCCCCCACTTGCTGAATTATTTTCTCTTTCACTTTTACTCACTGGTTAGTTTTAGCCACTAAAGATGACCTGATTAGTTTTGGGTAAAAACATGCACCCTCAGAGTAATCCTGCTTTTTAACAAACATCCAGATCTCTCTCAATGATGCCATAACATCGTCCCTCAGGGCAAATATTACCAACAAAACGGGGGAGGTTTGAGTTCCAAACATGGCGTCTGTGAGTAACAGAGGTTTTCAGATGGTGGAGATTTCCTCAGATTTCAAGACAAGCACCACAGCACCCAGTAGTGACTGACCCTAACCCTCTCTTCCATCTGGTTTAGGGTTTATGATTTGACACACCACCAGGGTCTGTCAGGCCTGTCTTAAAGAACTGGCTTCAGCTGACATAAACCCAAGCAAAATTATCTGAGCAGAGATGCCCAGATCGCCCTCCTTTCAGCCTCCCCTTCTAGTGAAATACAGACCCAGCTGAGAGAAATAACTGCTACCCAAAACACCTCACCTTAGAGCCTTCCAGCATGAATCCTGCTCAGATATCCAGACCATATCAGCTGACTTGTGTCTGTGTTGAGCTTTTCTCTGAGCCCCCTCATAATCACCTAAAACCTCACCCTACCTGTGCAGCAGAGCCCCGACGTTATAATTATAACAGCTTTTAATTCCACTTTTCTTCTGATCACGCAAACTGTGGTTCAAGTCTTCAGTTCCTCTAAAAATAACAGCCAGCGTTACAGGTATCCACCCTCCCCAAACCGCTGTATTTACTGTAAGGTGACTGTACCCTGATGAACCGGTTTAGTCCCCTTTGTGTCTCGTGCCCACGTGTGTCCCTTTTATTCATTGACTGAATAACAGGCAGAGGACGCTGAGCCGTGTTTAAAGCTGAAAATAAAGCAGCGTGTGTGGGTGTAGTGAGCGTAGGTCATGAAGTGTTTTTCACCGGGT